GTAGATAGACAATGTGATGAATGTTAAAATATTGTGTAGATTAGTTTTATAGATTTATATTGTGTAATATTTTGGTGGGAGCTGTTGACACTAATTAATTGTGGAGTGTGATAATAAAGTGCAACGTGATGACTTATAAGGTGCAACTTGTTGTCTTATAAAGTGCAACATTCCGCTTTATGAAATGCAATAATTTATATATTTTTATGTAAATTATGTGTATTCGAAAACAAATTTAATATACATAATTGTACATCGAATTAAACTAAAAATTAAGATACTTTTTATTTATTATTTTTACAATATAATTTATTTACTTATAATATTAAATAATAAATTAATTTAATTACTCAAACTAAATATTATTAACTTGAGTAATTGAATTAGTTTATTATTTATATTATTAATTCAAATACAAGTAATAAATTAATAATTAAGATAATTTTCTATTTATTATTTTGTCGGTTAATTGAATTAACTTGAGTAATTGAATTAATTTATTATTTATATTATAAAAATATATTTAGTATTTTAATATTTTTATTTATTCTTTTATAATAGATTTTTCTTTTAAATCCTCAATAAATATATATGTATAAAAAATATATACAAGATAATATGTTTTTAAATATTTTTGGTAAATTGCAGATTTGGCCCATGGTCTAAATTGGAATATAATTACAATTGTTTGAATTCGCAGATTGACCCCAATGGTTTAATTGTAATTAACTAAAAGTCTTAAAATTACAAATCAGCCCCTGAAACTTATCAAATTTCCAAAAGCTGGTCCTCAAACTCAAACCCTTTTTTCAGCCTCCCAGCCGCGGCTCCGCCGCCGGAGACCGATATCTGCCCATCCACAGTGCCGTAAGCGCTTGTTCCCTCGCCGGTGACATCCCTCGGCCGTTCAAACTACCGTGCCGTAATTTTTTTTGTACATACGTCCGCCCAGCGGCGGCGCTCCTGTCACGTGGCGAGTTCACAGCGGCGGCCGGAGTTCATGTACTTTGTCGTGACGAGCAGCTGCCCTAGGCCGCGCAGGTCCGGGCGACCAGGTCGACGGAGACGGCGAATTACAGGGTCGGCGGGACGGTGGTCTTCTCAGGCAGGTGTGGCGGCAGGAGGCCGACGGTCGGCAGTTTAATATGTGTATTCGATGTGTGTGACATATTCTCCGTCGAGTGTGGGGGGGAGGCCGACGGTCGTCTGCCAGAGTATATGTATTGTGTGTGCAATGTGTGTATGTGTGTGAGAGAGAGAGGGTGTGTTGGTGAGTCACGAGATTGGTATGAAGAATGCCAACATTTTAATTGGAGTGGGGCCCAGTAATTATAATACTATGTAATAGGGCATCCACATCCATAAATTTTTTTCCCATTCATTCAATCAAAAAGTTACACTCTCTCTCATCCACATTATCTTCTCTCTCCATTTAAACACACACCCACATCCCTACACATTCATTTAAATACAAATATGGGACCCATCCATTCATTCAATATAAATTTTAATATTCTATTCTCAATAAAAATAAAAAATTAATATTTTTAAATTATAATAATAAATTTTAAATGCATGAAAGTAAAAGAACACTACAAGACCAAAAATAACTTAAATTAAGATTACACAAGAAAAAATAGTACAATTACAAAATATTTTACTGGCTAAAATGAGTCCAAATATGCTCAACTAAATCGGCACGAAGTTGATGATGAATTGTGTTATCTCGTATCTCTGAACTTCTACCGATATAATTTTGAAATTCTCGATTTGATCATCCTCGTCATTGTGCCAATTTGTTACTACAACTCCTTCATTTTCAACAATCATATTGTGTAGAATAATGCATGTCAACATAACAAACTTCAGTTTTCTTCTATACCAAAATCGAGCAGGACCTCTTACAATTGCCCATCGAGACTGAAGCACCCCAAATGCTCTTTGTGGTGAAGCACACAAAAGTTGAAAAATGCATACAGACACGAAAAATCTCATTGTAAAATTGGGACACCACCTTTTTTTTTCCTCTGGTGGAGCGTATGCCCTCGACAAGTGGTTCTGTAACTACAAATCTTTTCATCTAAAGTTAAAACAACAATTGTGAAAAAAATAATTTGTACTGGATAGAGTGAGCATAAAATAACTCATTCAATTAATTATGGATCTTAACAAAAATGGCCCAATTATTTTAATATTGCCAAAATGATAAAGAATTGCAAAAGTTGAAAAAAGTAGAGTCGCGAAAAATCTCTATTTGCTCTTCAACTACTTCCAAGTGCTCAAGCTCCACAAGATCTTGGCTCTGTTCTACCCATCACCCTTTACCAAATCTCCAACAGTGTCAACGACGACCTCGACTCTATCAGCATCCAAATATGAGGACAACAAGGTTGGCTTTGGATCTAAAAATGCCATCTCGCCGCTCGACTCACCTTCTCCGAGTGAGAAAAGCTGCGGCGCAAGTGTTGGGATCTTTGAGGATCTCGACAATGTGCAAGTCACGGACTATCTACGAATGAAACTCTAAGCGCAGCGGAACTAGAAGCGAGGGTCCAATGCCTACCGTTTTTAATTTTTGCCGACCACCGGATCGTTCCTGGACTCACCGTGAGCTCACCGACACTCCCCGAACCTACTGGAGTGCTCCCGAACTGAGCTGGACACGCTTGGACCGGTTCTGAGCATGCTGGGCCGGTTTTGTGCAAGCTGGTACGTCAGTGGGCCGCTAGCCACTCGCTGGGATTCGTTGGACGTGACTTGGGTCGCGTGACACGCATTGGGCCGCGGAGGATTGTGGGCTGAAGCAGGCTAATGGGCGCGGGCCGTATCGGGCTTCTCGCGGGCTGGGAATGGTCAGGAGACGCGGGCTTGCACTGGGTTTGGACGCGGGCCGACCTTGGGCTTCGCGGGCTGAGGATTGTGAGGAATGCGGGCCGTGCGGGCTGGATGCGGCCCACGTATTGGATCTCCTCACAGACGGGCCTTGCGACTGTTGGGCTTTCTCCGCATTGGGCTTCCGCATGCTCTGGGCTGGCGCAATGGACCTTGACGTCATATGGGTTAGGCGTCTTCAAGCTGGGTTGCGCGCTGCGTCTGGGCCGACTCCTTGCAGGATGCATGCGCGGATTTGCCAGGTGTGCTGGGCTGCGAGCCCAGCGGCTGTGGCTCGTTGTAACTTGCCTGCTCGGCTGCCTTGGCTGGTGGACGCCGAATTTTGACCGGAAGGTCGCTGGAAAGTGCCGATCGTCGTGGGATGGTCACCGGTTAATTCCAATACATCCAACATACATAATTCTCATCTTTTGTAAAGAACAGACAACCCCGCAAATTACAGATAAATTATGGGGTTGAATATATATATTTTACGGGGTTGGATAAATATATATATAAATCACTCGATTACCTCAGATCTTCTATTGTAAGACCCGACAACTACTCCTATAATCTGGGTGGGTGATGAAATCGGAGATATATATATGGGATTACTTGGAGAAGAAGAGAACACAAGAGAGAGAATAGAGAGAGAGGAGCGACGTCTCTATGTGTCTCACGTGAATAAATTATATCCTTAACCCCAATAGGTGTAATGTATTTCTAGACTACAACAGGACACTAATGAGGTATTAAATTGGGCTTTTCCTACTAGAATTAGACTATAGGCCAAGTCTACATAACCTAAATAGGAATAATACATCAATTCCACTAAAGTAGAATTATTGAATAAACTCTCAATTTAATTTCCGAACTATATTCGAGTCTCCAATAATAATTACTCGATTTATCTCCCCGTGTTTAAGATATAATGTCCATCAATTAATTTAATTACTGACAATTAAATTAATCGACATTTATAACCGAAACTAGTAGCACATGTCCAATTATTATTATATCGGAATAAATTCCACTGGCCAGATTTAACATAATAATCCTTCATGAGCTCATCTCGGGGACACCATCAAACTAACGCACACGGTGACCGTAACTATTCTAACAGCACATCGTACATACAATAATATTACCCAAAATAGTAAGTATATTGATCTAGTAAACTTAATCTCATCCAAGTGAATAAAAGTAATATTTACTGTATGCACATGCTTGTCTATATCTTACGGGTTAAGAATACGCAGTAGTTAACCGAGGCCTAGTTCGTTTACGACGATCAGTATAAAACAAACTTTTCATCTCTGGGATCCGTTCAATACACAAAGTGTACTAGTATAACTAATCAGTCAAGACCAACTGTACGGTTAACACTACAACCGTTCACGATGGGTTGCTCATTTACATCTAGGTTGTGAACCCACTATTCTTGTTTCGCAAGTGACTGATAAAATGATATTCTGTTCACCCGATAATGAACTATTTTATCTAAGTGGAAAACAACAAAACATATTTTTGTTTAATTAAACATGATTCTCATTCAAACATGTTCAATGTAAATACATCAAAAGCCAAGCATTCAGTATATACACCAACAACGATATCTCTGCGCGATTTCTATGGGAGCTCCAGAGATCGGAGTCCGAGATCTGCCGAACAGTAGGTGGTTATTAGCTATTCGTGTGTTGCTATTGGCAAAAGAAAAAAAAAAAAAAATAGACATGAAAGAAGATGGTCGCATGCCGGCATGAAAAGAAAATGGTGCAAGAAGAAATAATTGAATTTCGTTTTGTATGAAGGGACAAAATGGACATTTACCTGTGAAGATAAAACCACACTCTCAGTGGCTAGATTGAGTTATCTTGCATTCCCAAGCAATGGAATAATTATCTCGGGCCAAGTCCAATCCTGAGGGCCCTAGTCATGTCAACCAAACATAACATTAGCGTAGGATTAATCCCATAATTCTACCCTATCATGCATACCAAGCGAAGAACAAGTTAGGTAATATAAGTTAATGAGATTACAAATAAGTTTTCTCTCTTTATATATATATTGGATTTGATTTACGGGATAAATGATTAGTGTGCTTTAAAGGATTAGGAAAGATATCCATCTAATTCTTAGTTTATCCATCATTTAGTTACAATGATTGAGGCCCATAGAATATCCTATGACTCAGTATTAGTGGGATATATAATCATGAATATGGTGGATAAATAATCCACCCCAATTCAGAGTGATTGTTTATGTATCATGGGTGGATTCTCAAAGTATATTTCAAATATGTCTTTATTTTTTTATCTTTTCACATCTTGCAAAATTTCGCTGACAACCTAATTTTATGCCAGCAACTGAAGTTGTTGTCGTCCTCCACCTCCCCATCCACTTAGCCATTGGGTCGCCGTCCTACCCCAACTCCGCCACACATCAACGGGACATCTCTATCTGTTGATTCTATATCTAAAATTAAAAAACAAAAATCGAATTATAAGAAGACATAAATAAATTTCAATCGCCCAATTTCAATTTCATATTTGTACAATTCCAGAAATAAGAGCAACCATATTTCCTGTTTCAAGACATTGTCTCATTTTTTTTTCTCATTCTTTTCCTTCCTTCTATTTATGTAATTTCAACTTCAATTTCTCTTCGNATCACTCACTAGCCGAGAATTGCTAAAAATTATTCCAGTCGAGTAGGCACGCATCTTCTCTGGTCATAGACATCGATTTCCTCCTCAGTGCTTGGATATAATTTTTCTTGTTTTGATTGTATTTTTTAGTTTAGTATGGTTAATTTTGAAAAAGTGGTATGATTAGTTATTAGTGAAATTTTGAGTTATATTAAAATAATATTTAAAATAGAATAATTAAAGTTGATTTGAAATAAAAGTAGGAGAGACATGATGTGAAGTGATGATTAATTAAAATTATGTGAGTGGATGAATAGTGATTAAAGTTGATATATTGTGTAAGAATGATTGAGTGATATTATTTAATTATTAATAATATGAGGATAATAAGATTGCGTTAAAATTGAGTTAAAAAAATGATTAGAGTTTTACACAGAAATTTGTATCCAAACATCCCTCATGAGTGTTCTATTGCAGGGATGGGGGATTGATGTCGTCTTCCACGACCACGCAATCGATGTGCGGTTGCTCGCACAGGTGCGAGGTCGAGTGCACCGTGATTGTGGTTCTGAGGGGGTGGTGATTAGAGATGTTAAACGGGCTAGCCCTAGCGGGTTTCGGGCTAAATGGTCCAGGCTTAAAAAGCCCGGATTTAAACGGGCTACCAAAAAAGGGACCTAACCCTAACCCTAGCGAGCTTCGGGCTAAACGGGCTATGCAGGCTATAATAATAATAATAATAATAATAATAATAAAAATAAAAAATAAAAAGAGTAAAATATATAAAAAAAATAACAACGGCTAGTTAACAATTGTTTTCAACGGTTATTTACTATTTACCGTCTATCACTATGTTTCATGTGTTTCCTATTAGTCCTTTTGATTCGCTTAAATATTTTGGTATGAAATACAATAATAAAATTATTAATAATTATCTTTCAAAATCATAATAATCCATTACAACTCATACTTACATGTGAAGTTGAATAGCAAAATTGTAATATACAAGAAATCTAAGAGCATATTACTTATTTTATGCAAACATTTACACCGCAACACTAATTAAACGGGCCAGCCCTAGCGGGTTTCGGGCTAACCCTAACGGACTTCGGGCTAAATGGTCCGAACCTAAAAAGTCCTGATTTAAACAGACTACTAATGAAAAAACCTAATCCTATTTTTTTTCGGACTAGACGGGCCGGCCCGTCGGGCAAATGACCATTTAACATTTGTGAACGGTGAGTGAGGTTTTGAGATCAGTGCGTCGCTACTGTGCGTAGTGAATGTGTTACAAGAGTGTGGAAAAATTTGGGATGTGCGTGTGATTTTTAAATAAAAAAATCTACAAGTATTATCAGCAAAAGAATAAATATATATATCAATTACTTTTTATGAATTATTATTTATTGAAATTCATATTGCATATACTAACTCATTATGATATTGCATATTCTATTTTTTTCTATCGTTTAAGAAAAAAATAAATAAAAAAACTAATAGTTTTGATGGCGTTAAATTGGATATCATATTTCATACGCAACATAAAAAATAATTATACATCTTTTAAATAAAAATATCTATAAATATATGAATTAAAAATAAAATTATTAAAACAAAAAACATAAGAAGAAAAAAAGGAGACGACCAAGATTACTCAAGCAGGCATAGTATTGTAGCTGTAAACGATAAACTGTATTTGCTGGGTCGTCGGCACTCGTCAGCCCGGATAAATAACTATGAACACGCTGTTACTCCCTCCGCCACACCTCCACCTCCGCTCCCACATCCCCCGCGCGTCGCCCTTCCCCAGCCACCGCCACTGCCGCCACCTCCTTCCCTCCGCCTCCTCCCACCATGACTTCACCCTCCCGGCCGCCGTCAACGGACACGAGCAGGATCCCTACGACGTCGCTCGGCTCCCCAACCCCTACTACGACTTCGCACCGCTCCTCGATTTCCTCTCCACCCGCTACAAACCACCCCACCCGGCCCGGCCGGACCCGCCCACCGCCCTCGACCCGTCGGAGCTCAGCCTCGCCGAGTCCTACTGCGCCGTCCCGGCCCCCCTCTGGCACTCCCTCATCAAAGCCCTATCCTCCTCGCCGTCCTCCTTCTCCACCGCCTTCGCCCTAGTCACCTGGCTCCAGCGCCACAACCTCTGCTTCTCGTACGAGCTGCTCTACGCCATCCTTATCCACGCCCTAGGCCGAAGCGAGAAATTGTACGAAGCCTTTCTGCTATCTCAGCGCCAGAGCCTGACTCCGCTAACCTACAATGCCCTAATTGGGGCCTGCGCCAGGAACGACGACCTCGAGAAGGCACTGAGTCTATTGGAGAGGATGCGCCGGGACGGGTACCAATCCGATTTCTTCAATTACAGCCTAATTATTCAGTCCCTGATGCGAAACAGCACCATAGACGTCTCCATACTCGATAAATTGTACGGCGAGATGGAGTCCAGCAGGATCGAATTAGACACTAAGTTGTTTAATGATATAATCTTAGGGTTTGCCAAAGCCGGTGACATTGATCGGTCCATGTACTTTCTAGGAATGATGCAGGGGAAAGGGCTGAGCCCGAAAACGAGCACGGTTGTGGCCGTTGTAAAGGAGCTTGGGAATTCGGGCAGGGTCGACGAGGCAGAGGCCATTTTTGAAGAATTAAAGGAAGGCGGGCTAGAACCCAGGACCAGTGCCTATAATGCCCTCCTGAGAGGGTATGTGAAAATTGGGGCCCTGAAGGACGCTGAGTACATTGTGTCCGAAATGGAAAAAAGTGGTGTTTTGGCAGACGAGCACACATACAGCTTGCTAATTGACGCGTATGGTAATGCCGGGAGATGGGAGAGTGCAAGAATCGTCTTGAAGGAAATGGAAACAAACAATGTAAAACCCAACTCGTTCGTTTTTACTAGGATTTTGGCTAGCTACAGGGACAGAGGCGAGTGGCAGAGGTCGTTCCAGGTCCTCAAGGAGATGAAGAGCTGCGGGATTAAGCCCGACCGCCAGTTCTATAATGTGATGTTAGATACATTTGGGAAATATAATTGCCTAGACCACATGATGGCCGCTTTCGAGAGGATGAAGGAGGAGGGGGTCAAGCCAAACACGGTGACTTGGAACACGCTTATAGACTGCCATTGTAAGCAGGGGCATCACGATAAGGCGGAGAACTTGTTTGAGGAGATGCAGGAAAATGGATGTTTGCCTTGCACGACAACTTATAATATTATGATTAACTCGTTTGGTAGGCAAGAGAGGTGGGATGACTTGAAGGGGTTGTTGGGAAAGATGAAGGGGCAGGGTTTGCTGCCAAATGCGGTGACTTACACGACGCTTGTGAATATTTACGGGCAGTCGGGGAGGTTTAATAAAGCAATGGAGTGCTTGGAGGAGATGAGATCAGCTGGGCTGAGGCCCTCATCGACAATGTATAATGCGCTGATCAATGCATACGCGCAGAGGGTATGTTTTCTCATAATTTGGCAGCTATGTGATGTTGGGCTAAAGCTTGTGTCGTTTTGGAAATGCTTACTACTAAGGAATGTTTGCAGTCAATCACTTAGAAAGAAAAGAAGTAGTTTGTTGTGTTTTCAAGTACCAACTTTTGCTTCTGCATCTACATACCGTGCTTAGAATTTAAAGTAGAGTGAGCTTGCTTTATACTTTTCTAATTGTGTGGTTTTGACCCTTACAAACAAATGAGCAGTTTTGCACCAAGCACTATCGACTTCTGATTCTGTCAAGTAATGTGTGTGTAGTGAATAGCTTTAGTGGGGGCATAAAAGGATGAGTTCGAATGACTGCGAATAAATGCTATATAATGCACTTCTGTTTCTGCTTCTACGGAATGTAACTAAGATCAGTAATAGGGGTAGGGGTAGTTTGAATTATCCCTTACAAATGAGCACTTTTGTGATATATTCATGTGCGACTCTCTGCTAGCTTATTCACTTATAGTGTGTATCTTTAAACACTGCCAGTTTTCAAATACTAATATATTCTATTTGCAAATACTAGTTACTTTCGGTTGTTAGTTTCTGCTTCCATTTGCAAACAACACTTACGACCTAGGTTAAGTGCTGCCATAGATGATTAAGCTGCTTCCTGATCTCTTGGTGTTTTTCCTAATGGGTTGATGTGGTTTTTGGGCATCCTTGTATGTGGAACTTTATTCCACACTTGCTTACAGGGATTATCTGAGCGAGCCGTAAATGCATTCAGAGTAATGAGAGGCGATGGTTTAAAACCCAGTCTTCATGCTCTTAATTCGCTGATTAATGCTTTTGGAGAGGACAGAAGAGATTTGGAAGCTTTTGCTGTGTTGCGGTACATGAAGGACAATGTGAGTGTCATTGACAATCTGTGGATACAATTATTTGTTTTTTTTTTTTATTTATGCTCCTCTGTGTATCCATACAGTCCTAGCTAAACCGGCGTGCATTTTCTTGTTATTGCAGGACTTGAAACCTGATGTCATTACTTATACCACACTAATGAAAGTGTTAATTCGCGTGGAGAAATTTGAAAAGGTCTATTCACTATCAGTTATCTTTGTAGTTTAATGTGCATAACATGGGAAAAAAGGGATGTTTCTCTGAATTTGAAAAGTAAACGTTGTGCAGTAGAATGGTTTTGTCTCGTGAAGCATAAAACCTTTCGTCCTTTAAATTTCCTTTTTCATTTTGTCCATAGCTCAGAAAGTAACAAATATGTTACCCGTATAATGGCCAGAAATAGGATCAAGATGAGACAAACAGATGAAAACTCTCTTTGACCAATGACCGAAGTTTGCTCTGAAATTGTAAAGTAGACTGTATATGAGCTGAATTATATTTATGAATGAGACTTTGCAAGAACTAATAACTTCTCAAACTTTAAGTTTCTTTACCATATTGAATTTTTTGGAAAACTTTATGTGACATGCTATGCTGTTTGATTTGCTTACATGGTCCAATGTAGTACTTATTGGTCCATATGATTTTAGGTCCCAGCCGTTTATGAAGAAATGCTTGCATCTGGATGTACCCCAGACAGAAAAGCAAGAGCAATACTGAGGTCTGCTCTAAAGTACATGAAGTCTACACTAAAACGGTAGCTGGTTCCTTTCTGTCATATGGAAAAGTGAATGATGGTGTCAATTGCAAGCTGAAGTATTTACCATTTCTTCCAGGTCAGTAAATATTGCCCAGACAAAAAAAAAAGAAAAAAAAAAAAGCAGTTTCTGTTCTAGGTCATTACCTGCTAATTACACTAGTAACTTTAATTTTTTCTAATTTTGTAAGTTAATTCATGTGCAGGTTGTTTCAAGACATGATCTTGAACCATAGACTTTCGTGACGGCACAAATGCCTGGGCAGGATGTTAAACTTCCTCTCCATATTTGCCAAGGAATTTCAAATATAGAATAGGGGATTACTTCTGTTGATTTGATTTGTTGACGTTTGAAACGAGCAAGTCTGTCAGGATCTTATCAACACTCAACAGTTCACTGTAATAGAAGCATTGGTGTATTATATGAAATCTCACAAGAGGCAATTTTTTTGTCAGAAATTATGATATTTGAAGCATATGATGGCACATGGAGAATGTTTCAAAAATTTTGTCCAAGCCAAACAAAACAAAAGCTGATAGTATTGCAGATAGAAGATAAGAGTTGGAAAAAATATTTTGTTGGCAAACCTTTATGTTTCACGAAGCTTCAACAAAGGAGAAAGGGGAAAAAACGACCATTCCATTTGAAGATATCAATAATTTCTCATTCAAGGTAATTGCTTTTCCAATGCTTATGCAGTAGATCACGAATCAAATCTCATGTATCTGCTGTTACAATAATCAACAGTAGACCGTGTATACAGACAAGATTTTCATTTTCATTTCATACCTCAACCAAACAAAAATGTATATCATTAGAGAATAATAATATACACTTACCCAAAACCCCCCAAAAAAAAGACAAATCTCCCGTCCCTAGCAAAACTTATAGAAATAATCCAAATTTTGTGAAACCAAAAAAAAAAAAAGGTAAAACCTTATGAATGATCACAGAGACATGGAGGCTACAATGGGCCTAGTGCTCTTGGAAATTCTTGTACAGAACATGAACAGTAGGAGCACTGAAGACAACAAGAACAACCTGAAATACGTCCTTATCTCCTGGAGTCCGAGGTCAAGAACTTCCATTTTTTTACCGTATCTACTTTTCCTGTGCATTAAATATCCATTAAGGTAGTCATCTATCGATACCCAATTGTCAAAACTGGACGCGATTGCCTTTGTCTGAAGCCCATCCATCTGCATCACACCTATGTTGAACATCTTGAAGAATGCAGCCGACCAGTCATTCAATACTCTCTGTCGTTCAAACAATCAACCGAGTTAAGGGATTATAGAATAAGTAGTTTATCCAAAATATATCAAACTTAATGTGGGATGATTAAGAAAACAACAGCAGAGATCTATCTAGCCCACTAAAAAGAAACTTTTATTGTCTTTCAGAAGAGAAAAAACAACACACATTTTTTTCCGAAAAAGATTGGCCAACACCTCGAGGGTGGTTTAATAATTTCGACTTTAGAAATAGCAAATATCAATGTAGGAAGCATGTTAGGTTTATCCTGGGCATACATTGAAGGAGGAGATGTCTACAGGATTGAACATTTTGAAACAGTCTCTTGAGGAAGCTTTAGGATCTCCGTAAATCTGCAAAAAAGTATGTGCATATAAGGACATTGGGACCCAACAAAATAAGAAAGAAGAAGAATTGTATTTCATAGTGAGTTGTTTGCAACCTCGAAGGTAAAAGCCATGGGAACCCTCGCAACATCAAACATATAATCTGTTGCTGTCCCATGGGCAAGATACCTAGAATATGAAAGGTATAAATCAGAAGTGAAGAAACAAATATATATGTATGTATGTATGTATGAAGTAGCACAAACCCCACAGAGCCTCCACCAGACCCAATTAAGCATTGATCTTTGAGGTGAAAATGGTTCAAGTCTTCAAGCACTGATTTCATTATCTGAGAGGGTATTCCGGGAGGGGTGGTGTTTTTGTGATCGTACGGCATGAACAAAGCCTATATGTTAGAGTTGTCGATCAACATCACTGATATAGATATTCATATGTGACACTGACACATACATAAATAAATTACGCGGCTAAGGCTGAGGTATATCTAAACAGTTGGTAAAATGCACTCAATTGGTAAAAGAGGGCCGACTCAACAGTTGGTAAAATGCACTCAATTGGACAAATTGCTGGATAAACTTCAAAAAAATGACGCAAAATTTGAATAAAAAGGAAAAGAAAAAGAAAAAAAGAAGAAGATGTGAATGACTATTCTAGTTACAGTTAGATTTTTAGCACGGGATTAGAACTCCAGCCTGTGGCAGTAGAGTTTAAGAACGATCAACTTACCTCCATCCCAGAGTGCACATTAACCCAAATGTGTGGTTCAAATGAAATAGCTAATTTTCTCATTATTTGAGTCTCAGGCTCGCTGAAAGGAGCAGTCCCAGGTCTTTCTTCGAATGGATCATAATCCTGAGACAAATAAATAGACACCTCAGCACATATTGGGATCAAAAGAACAAAAAGTGTACATGCAATCACAAAAATCCATTAAAAGAGTGTTCCTTCAGCTAGGTATTCTGGTAAATGCCACTAGCGTACAGGAGAAAACGCAAGTAAGATGATTTTGGAACAAACCTTCTCTTTTTTGCCCCAATCTACACTCCAATTCCGGTTGAGATCGACTCCCCTTCCTGCGAGAAACTCAAATTTTAAGCCTCTAGCATTTTTATGAGAGCCAATGTGTAATTTATAATCAAACACGCGATTTTGTAAGGAGACCATTTCGCCTCTCGCAAAGCTCTCCATCTTCAACAAGTTTGCGGCCATTCAAATTTTCCAGGGGAACAATCTGTCGTATAGGAATACTTGAAAACATTAGTTCTCAATAGAAGTGTTCAGGCACCAAGAATGCAACAAACTCGAAACATATTTTCTGCAAAATACTATTACTAAACATGCCAGAGCACTGGCCATGGAGGTTTCAGAAAAAGAAAAATTCATTTGAATAGCACAATTTGTTTTACTGCAATTACTAGGCTTGAAGACCAACACCCCTTTCCTCAATTGTCCACACCTGAAGCACAAATAAAGTTCAGAAGAACCAGTAAATAAAACATACCTTTATAACAAGCCTATCAAGTGTTCTATTCAAATAAGATCGATCCACATTGGGCAAAAATTCCTCTTCGCTCAGAATAGAAAGGATCCTCAATGCTAGCTCAGTTGTAATAAGCTCTCTAGCATGCTGTCCAAAAGTCTGGAACACAAGGAATCATCTGTCAAAAAAACCAGCATAACCAACCTGAGAACTTTTAACTGTTCTATACTAAAGAAAGGGTATCGTAACACGAGAACCCACACAATAACCTCAGGTGGAACAGGTTTGGGATAATCATACACCCATAGCCCTTTCTTCTTACTCCACTAAGCCGAAAGAAGAAAACAAATAGAATAAGATTATTAAAATGAAGAGTTCTGATAGGGTCAGGGTATAAGTACTTACTAGCAGAATCCTAAGCTTGGGTCTGTCATCACTCCCTTTCATATCACGGGAATAAGTAACTACACACATCTCTGCCTCATATCCTTTATTTTTACGAGTAATTTTCTCAATCTGTAAAGATATTAAAACCAGTTTAAAATGAGAGCTCTTATGTCAAGGTCAAAAACCTCACCAAAGCAGAGAATCAATAAAGGAAAGTGATACTCACTGAAAGTATATCCGAGTGTCGATGGACCAATGATTCGATTTCCTCCAGTAAAGCCCCACTGCACAAAATTTAATTAGTTACCTCATGAAAACCCGAAAAGTAATACAATGCCAATGCAAAAAGAATGTAAGATCGGCGATTAAACAATTCCGAGTAAGCTTACTCTACTGCAATAAATGGTAAATGCAAAAATAGCTGACAAAAAAGTGGGCTAACATAAAAATGATTTCTTTACCTCTTGAAATTCCACACGCACATACACACAAGGAAACAATAAAATAAGGAAAAATAAAATAAACCTCAAGCTTCCATCTCCAATCTCAACCTTTACCAGACTTCAATCATTCCCATTTCCCAAAACTACATAACTTCAGCAAGAAAGCAATTAAAACACGAATAAGTCAACGGTCAGACCAAACATTCATTGAGACACAGTTTTCCTTAGGATTGATTCCCACTTAAAGTAACCTATATAATACATTAACAATAACCCCACCGGCAAAAACAGCATTAAAGATGCAGATCTAATCAAGAAAAATCCTTAAAGGAGGAAAACATACAATAAATAAAAAACATTTACCTGGTATGGTAAAGATCGTGATTGATAGGGGTGATAGCAGGAGTTTTTGTATTGTTAGATCTCCCATAAGCGGAGGAAAAATGATCGGCGAACACAACGACAGACAAAAGAATCAAGAGATTCGGAAATGGATTAAATCCCATTTATAATCGGCGATTAAATAGGTTGAGACTGCAGATTTTGAGCTGATTATTATTCATCTCATTCGGGAAACCTTTTGGTGCGCGAAATTGCAAATATCCTGTTGAGCGGTGTGAGTTTTTCAAACTTCCAAAGTCGAAAGACCTTTTTTCGGAAAAATGCAGAGTTCTTGGAAAAAGACGTCGATACGGTTAACGGCTACAGTATTGCCGATCTGATTCAGCTTGCCACCACTTTCAGCTGAATTTTCTCGCCAGTTGGGAAATACAAATATGATCGGCCAGCAGTAGAAAAGTGGTAACGACTCACGAACTATTAATAAATGCGATATGGACCTTTTTCCACACATTCAATATTATATTTTCAAAGATATAAAATTCTTTGAAATTTATGAGAGTTTATTTTGAAGTACTTTTATGTAACAAGACGAAATAAAATGAGAAACGATTAATCAATTTTTTCTTCATGAAGCATCCCACATTCCGATTCACTACACTTCTTTAGTTACTTTTCTGACCAATATGTGAATTTGAGAGCTTGTAGTGGATCTTTCAATGTCACATAAACACCTAAACACCTACCTCAAGTGTCGCGAGGAAAAAGAAAAGAAAAGATAAAGATGTCAATCTTTTTGCCTGTGAAAACACAAACTAAGTCTAAAAATATAATGCAAAAATTCTTAATACATACATAGCTCTCTCTCTCTCTCTCTCTCTCTCTCTCTCTCTCTCTCTCTTTCTCTCTCTCTTTTTCTGTTGGCACCTTAATATAGTTCCTATTTGCATATTTGTACGTACTAGAAAACGGTTTAGCTATATTTTGTAATTTTTAGCTTTTCTAGTATAAATATCTCGACTTTGTAATGTTGAGGGTTAATGGAAAATATCGTCAATATTGCTCTCAGCTCATTATCTTGATACTCTGCCATTTTCTACATGGTATCAGAGCTAGAGGTTAGTTTTCACCAACAATAGCAAACGCCTGTAACGCAGCAACCTGGTCGGAATTGAACGTAGCTACAAACAATCGAGCTCGTCCAGGACCAATGTTCAAGCTAATGAAGTGATTCTCCTTCAAAGATCCGATAATCCTAGCATGATTTTGGTATCGCACTTGTTGACATGTGCGAACTATCTCTCATGGTGCAAATCATTGCGGATTGCTCTCGACACTTATTCTAAGCTAGGATTCATCAACGATAATATTCCTGAGCCTAGAGAAACGAATGAGAATTATGAAAGCTGGAAAAAGACAAATTATATGATAATCTCGTGGATTTTAAATACTCTGTCTAAAGATATAGTTGAAAGCTTTGTTTATGAGAATAATCCAAAAGAACTCAAGGAAATGATAACATTGTTGAGTATTTCTCTAGAATCAAGAGGTTATGGGATCAATATGATAACATGAAGTCTCCTACTATATGTGGTTGTCTAACTGAGAGGAATGTGATTGAGAATGAAAATCAAACAAAGTTGTTGCAGTTCTAATGGGGCTACATGATGTGTATGAGCCTATTAGTCCACAAATTCTTCTGATAGAGCCATTACCTGAAGTTGATAACGCTTACTTAATGCTAGTTAGGGTGGAACAACAAAAGACCACAAGCCTGACCTATACTACTCAGTTTGGGAACTCAGGTATGGTAATAAAACTCCTCTGGGAGAGAAAACCTTGGAAGAGGTAGATATTACTCTGAAAATAAAGGAATAGACAGAGGAAGAAGTAGATAAAGAAGGACGAAAGTGTTGTAATTGAGTGTAAATTGGGCCCCTCCATTTAATCACATTGTATCAATAATTCATGCCTTATAATTGAGAGTGGGGAGCTGTACATGTGAAGGCATCACATCAAAATTTGACAATTTGTGGGGAAGGAAATTGCGTAGAAGGTTGACAAATTGGCCAACTTGTGCCAATCTATCCCTATAAATAGAGGGACTCAGGCAGGAGGAAAAATGCACAAGAAAAGGAGAGAAAAAGAGAAGAAAGAAAGGAAGAAAGGAAGGAAAAAGAGATATAAAAATATCCAGTCCGAAAGAATATTTGAGGGATAAAAATAGAGAAAAATTATTAGAGAGATATTTTTAAATTTATTTTTAAGTGCTCAATTATCTACTCCGTTCCAGTTCGCCGGAGCTCGTAAATCTGGTGTGCTACAGATTTAGAGACGTTTTCCGTTGTATCTTTGGAGAAGTTACGCCTAAACCGTTAGCTGCCACATGGGGCGTATTGATCTTGCGGAAAGAGTTTTACTCGCCTCAGCTTTAAACTTTTAGTTTTGTTTTTAAGTTTTAATTTATTTTTCAGTTGTAATTTATTTTTCAGTTCAATTGTAGTTTTCTATTTTTTAGATTATTTGTAAGAACTAAAAAATACATATCAGTTCGTAGGATTCCCATGTAATTTTACACCATTGATATAACAAAAAGATGAAAAGGCAAAGCTCATTTGTGAATATTGCAACAATCCTGGGCATGAAATGGCATATTGTTTTAAACTTCATTGAGTGTCTGACTGGTATGATAAGCTGAAAGAACAATGAAAACCTATGGGATATGCAAACATAGTTATTGAAAAGGTGTAAGTACATTCATTTACTTTAATCAACAGTTCACAAAATTCTTGAAGTGGACCAGACCTATCTTCAGTTATCTAACAAGAGCTGATGAAGTTTTTTGGTTCGAAGGGGACAATGAGGTAATAACATATGGTGATTATGTTCACTTTGTGAACTCAGCAGGTATAAGTTCATTCGACTCCTTCCATGCATTTTGCTTTCAGTATGGTTGAAAATATGCATGACGGCTCTTGGGTGTTGGATACTGATGCTAGTAAACATATGTGCATGAACTTGACTATTTCCAAAAACCTTAAACCTGTCATAACTGATGTGTATCTACCAAATGACACATCCTTTAAGGTCACATGTAGTGGTTCAATAAAAATTTCTTCAAACATCATTCTTCATGATGTACTTACATTCCTGAATTCAAATACAAAATCCTTTCCATTCCACGGTTGGCATTTCAATTTCATATTAAGGGTATCTTTACACCATACTTGTGTATCCTACATGACCTTGAGATAGGCAAAACAATGAGAGTGGAAGATTAGTTGGGAAACTCTATCTACTTCAAAATTCTGAGAATTCTAAAAACTCTAAGCCTGGAATAACATGTATATGTGTTCAGAAGTTCTAAATAATGTTAATTTTTGGTAAACTCGATGCTATTTCTGGGTTATCAAATTTTTTTAGAAGGGATTCGTGTGTACAACAACAAGGTGGCGGCTATTCGGGATTGGTTGATGTTTGACGCGTTTATAGAGACTCGTAGCTTTCACGGGCTAGCATCATTTTATCGACAATTTATTTCTCACTTTAGTTCAATTATGGCTCATATTACAGATTGTTTGACTGGCAAATCATTTGTATCGACAACGCAGGCTACTAAAGCTATTGCTCTCATCAAGCATAAGCTCACTACGGATCACATCTTGTTGTTACTTGATTTCACGTTACCTTTTGAATTGTCGTGCGATGTCTCAAATGTGGGAATAGGAGTTGTGTTGAGCCAAAACTCTCGTCTCGTGGTTTTCTTCAGGGAGAAATTATATGGCGCTCAGTTGCACTATAGCACGTATGATGTGTAATTCTATATTGTGGTTTGGGTTGTTCGTAATTGGCGTCATTATTTATTTCATTGGAAGTGTGTTATACACAGATCATGACGCGCTTCGGCATCTCGCTTTCCAGGATAATATCTTGGCTCGTCATGTTTCGTGGATTTTATATTTACATCTATTCACCTTAGACTTGAAGCATCGTCTGGGTTCCCCTAATCGTGTGACAAATGAGTTGAGTCGACACAACCTTTTGTTGATGGACTTCCGGGTTACAATTACGGGTTTTGATTTGCTGCGCGAGTTGCCATTCCTACTTCATTTTTTTCTCCTAAATTTACCCCACCACATAGTTACTAGTCCTGCTTCTTTATTTTTTGTTATTTTATATTTCAATATTATTTTCCGTTAGAGCCCGTTTGGTTGCAAAAAATTATTGGGCTTGATAGTATAAAAAATGCTAGGCCCACCTTATCTAATGGTTTTTATCTCCCTCATTACAATGTTTGGTTGCATTTTTCGGGCTTCAAATAAGTAAAGGATACAATTAATAAAATGTTTGGTTCAGCATGATATGTTTGTAACTTGTAAATTGTTGCAACAAATTGTCTTCCATTTCCATTTTTGCCCATTTGCTCTTTGCCAAAAACTACTCCCCGACGATAGTTTGACGCAGGCCATCGACCTCGACATCCTTAACTCCGGCGTCCCGTCTATCTTCCTCGACGTCTATTCCTATTTTCCGGCATGTCTTCTTAAGGTGAGCCTTTCGACGCTAACCAATTTGTATTGGTAACATCTATCATACCAACAAATTTAAATTTGTAATCCAATTTTAGGGCTACCGAAACATGATTATTGGTTCTCCAATTTTTAGGGCATTTTGACGAGAAGAAAATTCCATTTGTATGTTCCCAAAATTTTATAATGTTTGACGGGATGTTGAACATATTTTGAATTGAACGTTAACAATTATTTCTTACATAGAGAACCTAAGCATTTAGAGCCGTTTGGCCGGATATGAAACCAGTGTTGCGTTTAAATCTTGCTGAAACCAATTTACTATGTTTTTGTTTTGGAATCCATAAGTGCTGTGTTTTTTGTCAAAAAACCCCCATTTGAAAATATTCCGGTGTTTAGTGTGGTTGAGAGATAAAGTATACCCAATTTCCACTCGGCTAATGAATTGTGTATACCTTATGTAGTTGTTTAGGTAAAACATGGAAGTGTCAAAGCCCCAAACGCGGAATGATGCAATTGCAAAGCTATTTTGCTATGACGGTTGGAACAATGCTGAAGACGAATTCCTCTTCCAAAAATTGGACATGTTGCTCAGAATATACCAGTGAGTGAGGTTGGGATGTTTAATACATATATGTGGTTCATATCGGGTGACTTAACCGAAAATTTTAGAAAGCCGTTCACCACTCCGATGGTGAAACGCAGAGTGCAGAGATTTAGGGACGAGTACAACTCCTTTGTTCAGTGGACCAAAACGCTCGGAGTCTATCATAATGTGAAGAGAAATGTTGTCATTATCAACATACAAGCAATGTGATATAAGGCTTTCTATACATTCGTTTGTTTTTGCATACCAGTGTGTATATGCTCTATATACATAAATCGTTATTCTGAATTTTCAATGCAGGAGCCCAAAGAATGGCGATATTTCAGAACTAATGGGATGAAGCATTTTCCTACTGCACATTTGTTGTTCTACACCAAAAATGCAGCTCTAGTTGACTTCAATGATTTTCTTCAACTTAGACATTAATGAATGAGTACATTGTGAAGAGAAGAGTTGTTTTTGATGATGAAAACAAGTAGACGTTTGCACTTGTATGTTAATTATGTGGATAGTTCTTGTTTGTGGAAACATTTGGACAATTGATGGCTGTTTGTAACATTTCATTGTACCAGGATCATATATTTTTTTTCATAATAAAAAAGTCATTTCATGTATATGCTTCTATGGCCGATTTTGTATTGATGGTTTTTTCTCTGAGTTTTTTGCTTTACAATGGAAGAAGAAATATTTACAGGTTACTAATAATGCCATTAAAAAAAACAAGAAGGTTA